CCAGGAAGCAAAAAAGAGACGTGCAAAGCTTGCAATAAGGCAGCAACCACACTCCATACAGCTACAGCCTCAGACGAGAAGCTATCGAAGTCTCGGACAGAACACTGCTCATATCGTACCCCGTCACATCGCTTACGCTTCCGAGTTACATCCCGACAACCCGGTGAGAAGAATGGCTGCCGCAGCAGCTGTCGAAGGATATCTGCGCGACCCGCACTTTGCGTTTCAGGCTGAAGTGAAGGATACCCCTAGTTTTGCAATGGATCTACTTCGGGAGGTGCAGGAGGTTCTTCACAGACCAGCACCTAAGGCTGGACGTTTTGTTGATCCGATCACGGGTCAAGCGTTTCGCATTGGTCGATGAATAAATGAATTACGGATTAATGCTTTTGGGTAAGGGATGGGCCTCTTGCTTCGAGTAGACATGATCAGGTTCAGTACAGACCTATTTACTGGATTGAAAAGTCCGAGTAATGAGACTCTTTACCATCTAGATACCAAGCCAACACATGAAATGATGAAATGATGAAATGATAGTACTCCTTTTTTAATCGTGAGTTGACTACAAAACCTAGATTATATACCGCTTCCTTGAAAGTGTTCAGACCCCTATTCGCATTAATTCACACCTCGCTTACCTATTTAGGTAGCCCCGCTCAACTTCAACTTTGTTAACTGACCAACAAACCTGTTCATATTCACCGCAGCGTAGGGAACTCAAGCAATCCTGCCTGCCTGTGCGACTGTATATTTGATGAGTCATCTACCACCATTAAAAAAAGAGTCGTCCCCAAGCGGACTGCCGAAACATCTAGCATTTTGCTGCTTCCGAAATCCCTCAAACGCAAACGCGCAACCTTTAGAATCATGTCTAATCTCGAGTCTTCGAACCCGCGCCCTGATATCTTCATTTCCGAAAATGAAAAGTTGAATTACCTTGTGGGGCTGAGCGAGTCGGGGAATACGGAATCTGAGGATGACTTAGAAGATAGTCAGGGCCAATACTACGGCAAAGATCCTGAGCCTGCAGGAGAACCATCTGCGAAGACCACTCCAGCTAAGAAACGCAAGGTTGAGAATATCGATTCGATCCTTCGTGGCCCTGCAGAGGCTTCTGCTTTTAAGTATGTGCCCACCTCCTGAGGTTACTCTCATTGCCGCAACCCTCTTCGTGCTTTTATCTGACCTTTCGCCTAGGGTTATTGACCTCTACAGCGGTCCCCAGGTCTTGATCCGTATTGGTGATGACGGTCCGGAATTCAGTATTGCCAAGAAACTCTTATGCACCCAGTCACCCTACTTCGCTGCCATGTTCAAGGCGGGTCGATTCAAAGAGGTTCGTCAAGCTGTGCTCCCCAGCCCATCTCGAGCATGTCTTCCAACATTCGTTCCTTCAGCTTGATATATATCGGTTGGTCCTCATACTGACTCGTGGATAGGGAGAAAACAGCAAGGCTACCATGTGCCTAATCGACGGCATCGTCTCCGTTGAGAGCTTCGTGACCTTGATCAAGTGGCTGTATCGTGGCCGAGCAGATTTTCCGAATGGCTTGACCGCTGCGGAAGATATCAGCAAGGTGGTTGAGTTTGCCAGACTGTGTGATATGGTTGGAGTGACCAGCATGGAGGAGACGCTGGCCACCGATATCAAATCCATTCTGCAGCAGAAGCTTTCTGTTCCTGAAGAGCCAGCTGAGATTGATAGCACGCGGCCCATTTGCACGACTAATTGTCCTGACTCCCCACCAAATATGAGCTATAGGCAACGCATTATGGCATTAGGGGCAGCCAGCCGGTATGATGCCACCGGGGCTACTTCCGGAGGAGGCCTTCAGGGTGCTCAGGTAGATGCTTACAGACAATACATTGCTACCCACGGAGGCTCAACTCTCGCGCCGCTATCAGTATTACCCCCGGGCCATGCAAGGACTACCAGGGCGTGCTACCACAACGACATAATCAAGCCTATGCCCGCTACACGTTTCACTCATTACACCGACTACATTCTCTCCGAACACCTGCACGCTGTTTCGCAGTTACCCGAAGGCCACCCTGTCCGAGGAATCTTCGCCACTGCCGTCGTCACAGAATACCTGAACCCGATCAACGGAACCTTCAAGTTCGCCGCCGAGATGGATGAGATTCCTTCGCTTGCCCGGGATGTCCTGGAGCAGGTCAAACCTGTTCTGAATCTTGATGGCTGGGCTACTCGCCAGCAGCGCTCTCAAGGAACAAGAAAAGCTTATGCTCCCTCTGGGGTACGCTTTCCTGAAGGACATCTTTCTTTCCAGGATCCGATTACTGAGACAAAAGTTAATTATGGACGCTGTGAAAAAAGCTCCCTTGATAAGTTTGACAGCGATTATTAGCCGCGTAGTTAACGCGGGGTAGTCAAAATAGCTCCTCTTGCGATATGAGCGGAGTATTCTTGAAGCCTTTGGGACTTGTCGTTGGGGAGAAGTAGTAGTATAATTGAATGTCAGAGGACTTGGTACAGAACAATAAATTCATTTGCGATAACAGATTCTGTTGATTGGAGTGCATTCATTGTCTCTACAGAACACATTGATTGGCCATATCTCGTCACGAGACTGTGTCTGAACTCTGACAGCTACTTCGACGGTTGGGGATTTACTTCTCAATATCCTATTAGACTTAACACAATCTGACTGGCTTCAGAACAGCTGGCGGTGGAGTTGAAAGTTATTAATTATTCGTGTAAGAGTTCATGTTGAACTTGACATGTTCAGCATAACTTACAAGTACTTGTAAAGTCAAAGTAAACAAGGGGCTCAGGGGTTGTTGCTACCCCGCAATTTGCGGGGCAACGCGATCCGATGCCAGTCGGCCCCCCGTTTCATATCCCTTGATTACCACCTCACTCACCTCCCACAACATGTGCTAAACAAGCATTACACCCGCAGAACGAGAACAAAACACCAACATGACCATCTCAATTGCATCCGTATCCCTCGAGCACCACCGCGAGACCCTCGGAATCGGCGACCCCGCCCCTCGCATATCTTGGCGTTTCGCAGGCGACACCAAGGATTGGGTACAGAGTGCCTACGAGATCGAAGTCTCACGTCCAAACGCACAGGTCTACAATATCATAAAGAAGAGTGAGGATTCTGTACTTGTGCCATGGCCATCTGTGCCGCTCAAATCACGAGAGAAGGCCAGTGTGCGAGTGCGTGCTTTTGGCGGGGTAGCGTCCCAAGCTACGGAATGGTCGAGCGCTGTGCAAGTCGAGACTGGGCTGTTGGAAAAAGAGGATTGGAGTGCGACATTGGTGGGGGCTGAGAGAACAATCGCGACAAGAGAGTCGTTGAGGCCGGCGCTCTTTAGGAAGGACTTTGTGATTGGGAAGCCGGTCAAGAGCGCTAGGCTTTATGTTACGAGTTATGGGATATATGAGGCGTTTATCAACGGGAAGAGAGTGGGTGACCACGTCTTTGCGCCAGGGTGGACGTGCTACAGACATCGCCTCTACTACCAGACGTTTGATGTTAAAGACTTGCTGAAGAAGGGGGATAATGCTGTTGGTGTTGAAGTTGCTGAGGGATGGTATTGCGGACGCATAGGTTTCTCGCGGAGGACAAGGAATATATATGGGGACCAATTGGCCGTGTTGGCTCAGCTTGAAGTTACATATGAGGATGGAGAGAGCGTCACCGTAGGCTCAGATGGAAGTTGGAAGACCTCTGTTGGACCGCGACTTTCCTCGCAATATTACGATGGAGAGGAATACGATGCTTCGCAGGAGATTCCAGGGTGGAATTCAAGCTCATTCAGCGATAATAAGTGGAAAGCTGTTGAGGAGCTGGACCTCCCTTCAGCAAACTTGCTATCTCCCGAAGGACCTCCTATCAGGATCATCGAGACTCTCAAGCCACAAAAGATCTGGAGAAGCCCTTCAAATAAAGTCATCGTAGATTTTGGACAGAACTCTGTTGGGGGAGTACGATTGAGAGTTGCTGGCACCAAAGGCCACAAAATCACCTTGACGCACACCGAAGTACTAGAGAATGATGAAGTTGCAACACGGCCTCTACGATCCGCTAAAGCAACTGACACTATAATTCTCTCCGATACACCCCTCGAATGGGAACCTAAATATACGTTTCACGGATACCGTTATGTCCAAGTGGAGAACTGGCCGCTAAATCATGGCTTGCCTAAACTGGGTGATCTCGAAGCGGTCGTTATACACTCAGACATGGAACCAACTGGCTGGTTTGAAAGCTCGGAGCCCATGGTCAACCAATTACACAGCAACATTCGATGGGGTATGAGAAGCAACTTTGTAGGCATTCCCACAGATTGTCCCCAACGTGACGAACGTCTTGGATGGACCGGAGACATTCAAGTATTCACTCCCACGGCCAACTTTCTCTACGATACTGCTGGTTTCCTTTCTAGTTGGCTCAAAGACGTAGCTGTCGAGCAATTTGACCATAACAACATCGTGCCTCAAGTTATACCGAATGTCCTTGACGATTGGGATGCTCAGGCAGTATGGGGCGATGTTTCAGTCATTACACCCTTAGAACTCTATAAGAGCTTTGGAGACAAGCATTTCCTCATCGATCAATTTCCCAGCATGAAAGCATGGGTAGATGCGATTCCACGAGGCGAGAATATGCTCTGGGATCCAAATGCCGGTCAATTAGGCGACTGGCTCGACCCTGATGCCCCACCAGATAACCCAGGTGGTGGGAAGACTGATCCGCATCTTGTAGCCAATGCATACTTGGTATATGTCACAGAGGTAAGTGCTAATCCCAACCTCTCTCCAGGAACTGGTATACTAACCCGATATGTAGTTGCTATCCTATATATCCAGCCTCCTCGAAAAGCCCACGGAAGTACAACACTACACCCAACAAGCCGCCGCCGTGCGAGCCGAATTTCAAAAACACTACATAACGCCGTCGGGTCGCCTGGCCCCGGACACACAAACATCCCTTTCCCTCGCCCTCTCCTTCTCGCTCTTCTCCTCCCCCTCCCACAAAGCAGAAGCAGCATCCCGCCTCGCCAAGCTCGCGCGCTCAAACCGTTTCCGTATCGCGACCGGCTTCGCAGGAACACCTCTCATCCTGCCATCCCTGACGAATGAAGGGTATACTCAGGTAGCGTACCGTATGCTTCTGGAGAAGAAATGCCCAAGTTGGTTGTATACGGTCAGTATGGGCGGCACAACCATGTGGGAGCGCTGGGATAGTATGTTACCCGATGGCCGGATCAACCCGGGGTCAATGACATCCTTTAACCACTACGCGCTCGGCGCTGTTGGGGCGTGGCTTCATGCTTATGTGGGCGGTATCTCGTCTGCGAACGCATGGAAAGATATTGTTTTTGCGCCTGTGCCGGGTGGCACGCTGACGAGTGCTAAGGTTGGGCACTTGAGTCCGTATGGGGCGGTAAGCTGTGAGTGGAAGATTGAGGAAGGCCGGTTTTCGATGAAGGTGCAGGTGCCGCCGAATTCGAGGGGGTTGGTGAGATTCCCTGGGAAAGAGAGGGAGGAGACTAAGATCGGCAGTGGGAAGTGGGAGTTTGAGGGTCCGTGGGAGGCCGAGGAGTGGCCGCCGAAGAAGATTATAAGTCCGTATGCTATGTATAGTGACGATGATGAATGAGTAAGGAGGACGGAGTAGGTTGGAATGAAAATTTGGGTTTGATAGTAGCTTGGAAAATGACTAGATTCATCGGGGAATGGGTTATGGTATTGGAGTAAATGTCAAAATTGGAATAGTATTTAGCACATGATAATATTTCACGGTATTTGGTATGATTTAATTTTCTGTTCCGAACGGAAGACGGGTGTCATACATATCAAGAGCGAGAAAACGCAAATCCCACAAGTAAATCAAGCAGTTAAAACAAACAATAATCCATTAATCCGCCTGGTATCACACACACACACACGCGCGCCTAAGAAAGAGCAAACCCACATTAACATGCACCCGCACTTCTGCATCCCAAATTCCCCAACCCAGATTAGTTCCCACCCCCTTCTTCTTCTGCCCCTCGCCACTCATCCATACATTCATCCATCAACCGCACCGGCTCGTACATCTCACGTACCTCACCTTACTGTCCAGGTCCAGGTCCAGGTCCAGGTTCAGCACCCACATTCATACTCATACCCACTGGGGCCTGGTAGCCCTTATCCTGATCCGACGCCCGCAGAGCGTTCTTCCTAATGACCTCTTTCTCCTGCTGGATCAGCGCGCAGCAGTGGCAGAAAGCGCTGGAGAGACAATCGATCATGTGGTCTCCTTGGATGTTGTACGCGGAGCGGATCTCGGAGCGTTTGAGGAATGTGAGACTATGTACCCGCAAGCGATGCCAGTCAGCTGTTGTTCTTTCTTTTGTATGGTTTTCTTTGTTTTGTTTTTTGTTCTGTTTTTGCGACGGTTGGGTTTTGATTTTTGAGGGGATGGGATGGGAAGTGGAAATGAAGGGGAGGAGGGGAAAGGGGGACATACATCCACGACGCTTGACAGCAATTCGCACCGCACCAGAGCAGACAGTCGTTGTTGACGCGCTCGTATGATGCGAGGGACGGATCGCGGATGCGGGCTTGGGTTTTGCCGAAGACGAAGCAGGGGCAGCAGAAGCCTTTGAGACCTAGTTGGATGGGGGTGTTAGTGAAGGAAGCAAGCAAGCTTATTCATGGATTATGTGGAATCTTTAGCTAGCTAAGGAATCAGCTGAGATGATGGTGATATTAAGATATATATCTTGTCCTGCTAGCAATGCAGTTTCTTTTTCATGGGCGATTGGTACTCGTCTATGCGTGGATGGGTAACGTACAGAGGTTATCATCTCCCGTGAAGCAATCGAAGAGACCGTTGGTCCATTTCTCTGTTCCCGTCACAGCGGTGATTTGCTTGTAGGCGGGAGAATCGACGGGTTGGGACTGAGGGACTGGTTGCTTGGTGATTGGGGTAGTAGGGGGCGCTTCCTTGACTTCTGACATGATGATATGGTATCGTTGAAAGAAGAGATATATTGATAGATAGATAGATATTTTTGACAGTGTGTAATGGAATGTGATATGTGAAGGATGAATCTTTTGCAATGCAAGGAGGCAGTACGACAGAGTTATATAAAACCCGCACCGTATTGTATTGCGGAAAGCTTCGTTAGTTTGAGTTTCAGCCTTCTCATCTCCACAAATTAAGATATAAGGATAGCAAGCCATCTGAAATTCCTAGCCAAGCATTCTTCATCTTTATACTTTATAGTTGGGCTCTAAAGCAAGCCTTCGGTACAATGGTAAGAGCGTTGGATGGACGCTTGGAGGCTGAACTTTGTTGAAGAATGTGGCGTTAACATCATCAGACCCAGAATAGTCCATCATGCCGAGCCGTCTTGTCAGTCAACCTTGGCTGTACGGAGTACAAGTCCGTAAATTAAGCAATTAAGCAATTCATCGGGCGTATCGTATCTGCATCCTGAGATGATATGGGATGGTAGTATCGCAGTTAATCGACAGCTTTACTTAGAATAACATAATCAACCTCCTTCTTACTCCCATTCCTCAACATCTTCGGCAGCGGCGAAAACTCATCTTTCGCAAACCCAGCTTTCTCATAGAATCGCACCGCCCTCTCGTTGCACGTAAAACAAGTCAGCATAACTTTCTGCGTGCTTGGGATCTTGTGCGCGATGTCGAGGATGAGCTTCATGAGCGTGTTTGCAAGTCCAGTGCTGATTTGTGTAAGTAAGTAAAAGGGGTGAGTGAGTGAGTAAGCACGGGAAGGGTTTCTTTTATAGTTTTTGTAGGAGAAGGGAGGGGATTCCTAGATACCTGTAGGTAGGGGTTGGTATTGGACTTGGACTTACCCTTGCAGGGCTGAGCATAGGTGGATCTCGTAGATATAGAGGACGGGATAAAGATCTTCGTACGTTGGCATTATAGACGCAAAGCCTTGGACTCCTTCTTCCACATTGGATGATTTGACGATGAGGTACTTGAGATCCAGGAGTTTCATTTCTTTCTGTTTGGAGCGCGGTTTCCAACCATCGGGGGATTTCTTGTAGTCTGCTGAACTGGTGGTTGAGATGAGGTTGAAACAGGCCTTGAAGTCGGGGGTTGAAAGGGAGGCGGCTGTTTGGAGGGTTATGGAGTAGGTGGATGAGGTTGTTGGATGGGTCCATATGGTCCAATCTTTGCTGTGTTTTTGTGTGTTGTTAATTTATGGGGATGGAATCAATTATTTGATACATGCTTTTGAGAGCTTGAAGAAAAGGGCTTACTTTGAAGGGAGATATTCTTTCATAAAGTCATCCAGAGACTTATCATTAGCAACCTCAATGGGATCTACATCTTTATCCATATTGTTACTTTGATGTCGTTAAATCAAGGGTATTATATGTGTGACCCAGTGCAGTTCTAATTACTCGTATTTGTACGTCTCCGCGTAGATTTAACAACCCCCTGTCATTTCGAATTCCGCCCCACCTTCGCGAATAGCTGAGCTCCAACCCAGCCAGCATACATTGAACGTCAACACTATCACCACCACCCAATCATTCCCTTGCGTACATTCGCAGACATATGCCATGCTCAATGCGATCATGGCATCTTCTTTCCCGCTTCTACAGCTCCCAAGCTAAAAGACCAAGTCGATTTGCAGAGGGAACTGTCAGTCTCGATCATGTAAGCCCGCTCAGCTCTGCATCCCTAACCCCCCAACTCTCTAAAAACTATACATACATATATATATAAATATAGATAGCTAACTCCCTAGCCACAGTTTTTACAAAGAGGAAGAGCACTAGCCCTATGGCGCACGATTGTGCGCGGGTGTAGGAATATTTCAGATGAAGGCACGCGGGAAGAGACGTTGCGGTTTGCAAGGGAGGAGTTTCGGAGGAATAAGGATGTGAGGGATTTGGTATGTTTATGTGTGCAATGATATTCTATTCCGGGGATTAGATTTACTTTGAGGGAGATGGATTGGATAGATGTGGATGAAATGAAGTGGGCGTGCATGGACATGGGCTAATTGTGTATGGTTTGTATAGACGCAGATCCGGTACTTGATATCGACGGGGAAGACGCAGTGGGAGGGCATGGAGAGGTATATTACTGGGCTCTGAATTGGTAGGTTTGCTGCGGGGCTGCAGGATCAAAACATAGCAATCGTATCAGATCAGCATACACATGGTGAGCTGGGATTAAACTACTGTTGTAGTAGAGCAATGTGTTGGTAGATGTGATGTGATGGGAGAGGTATTGTAAATATGAGAGCTACGAGGACTTTCTCCAAGTCATGTATTGTACACCTGAAAGATATACATACACATACATACGCAGACATCCTCTCTTCTCCTCCCCGAAGAAATTCTTGTGTCTTGATTCTTGTGATTCCTTCTAAACGCCATTTCCATGCAATATCTCCTTCTCTGCTCGATATTCATACATTTCCTCAACCCCCCTCCACTTCCCTCTCCTCATTCCCCAATCCACCTCCCATCAACCAAAGGTCCTTTCTCCCTACCACCCTCACATAAATATCCCACCCCTTCTATTTCCCCTGCCTCTGCTTATGCTTCGGATTCAACGAACAGATAATATAAACATGTCCCCTCCCCTTCTTCCCACCTTTCCTCCTCACACTCTACAAGGCACAAAACCCTCATTAGCCTCTTGCCACCATCACATTAAACAAATCCAATCCAAATAAAATCCTCTCCACATACACCACTACCACCACCATACAACATTTCCATCCCATCCCATCCCATCCCATACCACACCCTTCCTCAAACAGAAACACAAAAAGAAGAACAAAAACATACCTTACAACCCTCACACATCTTCTTAACCGAACTCCTAACCTTCATCCCACGAACCTGCTGTTGCACGCCCACTCCCACAATCCCTCCATTACTCAATCCATTCTGTACCAGTAAACCCGTCCTCCTTAATCCAGTCGTTAAGCTTGAAGTACACGTAAGAGCCGACGAAAACGCCCTACTCGCAGCGGGTCGGATGGCCGTAGAAGAGGCTAGGGATTGGATGCATGTGGCTCGGTGCGAGGGAGAAGGGAACAGCGTGCGCGCTGTGCGGAGGATGGATAGTGCTGGGCGCATTGTTTCGCTGCTGTTGTTGTGTGGGAGGTAGGACGCCGACGCCTTTCTTTGTGGTTGAAGGCAGTGGATTCTGTGATTCGGATATCGTGAGCGAGTTGAGAAATTATGGTGGAGATGGGTGTTGCAGCCTTGGGATTAAGGCACTAAAGCTCATCCCCCTTCCATTTTCTTTTGATGATTTGGATTTCAGTTAGGGGCTGTAAATAATAAAGACTAGAAAATTGGAGAATGAGTATTGTGATTTCCATCCTGTCTATTTTATTCAACTAGTTGTTGACTTGCGACTTTTATCTACCTCTTTATAACTTTAAGTAAACAAAACACCCCAACTCCATGCTTATTAAATCACCCCCCTCCACTCAATATAGGATCAAATCAAGAACCATCAGCCCTCAAGAAAGTCTTGAAAACATCACTCGTGGTACAATCCTCATACGGATACCCGATCCTCCGCAAAAATTCCTCAACCTCGTTAACCTCATCATCCGGACACACGATACCGGTCAACACCTTCCCAATATCACTGCCCGCATTCCGATACTGGAATAATGAGATGTTGTACCTTGGTCTGAGCGTCGCAAGGAACTTTTCCAGCGCGCCAGGCCTCTCGGGAAAGTTGAACATGTACAGCCTTTCATTCGGGACGCCCGATATACCACCAACGAGGTAACGGACGTGTGATTTTGCTAGCTCGTCGCCGGAGAGATCAGTGGGCGTCATGCCGCCAGCACGTATGCGGGATAATAAAGAAGAGAGTTCCTCGTCTCGTTGAGATGCAGGGGAGGTGAGAGAGATACCGACAAGTACGTTGGCTACAGCGTCCGTAGCATAGCGATATGAGAACTCCGTGACCATATGCGGCATGATACACTTAATGAGCTCCGAAAAGGCGCCTGGCTTTTCCGGAATCTTCACCGACATCAACGCTTCTTTCTTCTCTCCCAGCGCAGCGCGCTCAGCTACAAATCGTAGCCGATCGAAATTCATATTCGCGCCCGAGGCAATAGCGACGAGGTTGCGAGAGGTGTCGGCGGATGGATGAGTAGCGACGTACTTCTTTAACCCTGCAACGGCTAATGCACCAGCTGGTTCGACGATCGAGCGTGTGTCCTCGAATACGTCTTTGATAGCTGCGCACGTCTCGTCGGTGCTGACTTGGATAATCTCATCGACGACTTCTTGGCACAGACGGAAACTCTCCTCTCCCACGTGCTTGACAGCTGCGCCGTCTGCGAAAAGTCCTACATCTTTAAGCACAACTCGTTCGCCTTTCTGGAGCGATTGTACCATGGCGTTTGCGTCGTAAGTTTCGACGCCAATGATTTTAACGTGAGGCGCGATGCGTTTGACATAGACTCCAATACCTGCTATGAGCCCTCCGCCACCAACACAACAGAAGATCGCTTCGAGCTTTTGGATATTGGTTTGGCGCAGGAGCTCCATGCCTATTGTACCTTGGCCGGCGATAACGTAGGGGTCGTCGAATGGAGGGATGTTCGTTAGACCATGTAGCTTCTCCAGTCTCGCACACTCTTCCTTCGCAGCGTCGAAGTCTGCACCGTGTAACACCACCGACCCTCCTAATCGTGACACATTGAGATGTTTGATGCTAGGTGTTCCCTCAGGCATGACGATCGTAGCGGGGATCTTGAGTTTGCGTGCGGAGTAGGCAACACCTTGTGCGTGGTTCCCTGCCGAGCATGCTACGACGCCCTTCCAGCTGACCTTTTTATCCAAGTGTGCCATCTTGTTGTATGCTCCACGCAGCTTGAAGCTGAAGACCGGCTGGAGGTCTTCTCGTTTGAGGAGGACTTTGCATTCTAATCTGTTGCTGAGGTTTGTGGCGTGGGTGAGGGGGGTTTCTTCTACTACTTCGTAGACGCGTGATGTGAGGATGAGTCGTAGATACTGTGGGTAGTTTTACTCAATTAGCTTCTACCTGAGATCTACTCGAGCAATTGAGGGCACAAACATCAGGATAGCCATTAGGCAGTACGAACTCCTCCGGAACCACAGCTCTGACCTTACTCTTGGGACTCGTAGGAGTTGTCCTGGGCGGTGAAGGGTTGGCTGAGTATTCCGTCATTGAGAGGTTATTAACAACGATTGGTGTGTTTGGACGGCTGCCATGGCTATTGCCATTTCCATTGACGAGTCCGTTCTGCATATTTGCTTTCAGCAGTGCAGTGGAAGGAAGTAAAGATACAATTAATGGGCAGATGCGTGGGAGTTATGTTGAGGAGATTCAAACTCAGGAAATATAGTGGGGTGTATGTTTTTGGTACGAGCCTGTAGCGGTATCGGGCGCTATGGCATGCATAAGGTACTGAGTAAATAAGCGGGGATGAAAGAACCCTACCGGATTAACTATCTACAGGGATATACTCCCGGATAAAGCTCACCACTCACCTCCACTCCACTATCACTCACTCTTGTCGTCTCATCTTCCGATACCTCTCCATCTGCAACACAACTCACTCACTGCAGCGTGGATGGGCAACAATGACATCTAACACCCCCCTCCCTTCATCCTTCGATGGAAATACGTACGCACTCTTCTGATTCCCCCTCTGATATTATACTGCCGATACTAATCCCCTTCCCCAACAGCGATTTCTACGAAGAAAACCGCTGGCAGAAGCTCAGCCGCCGCATAAAAGAAGAACCCCTAATCCCCCTCGGCTGCGTCCTAACATGCGCGGCCCTCTTCGGCGCCTCGCGCTCCATCCGAGCCGGGGACCAGCACCGCACGAACCGGATGTTCCGCCTGCGCATTGCCGCACAGGCATTCACGCTCGTCGCCATGGTGGCCGGAAGTATGTACTGGGACAGTGATCGGAAGAAGAGGAAGGAGTTTGAGGGCGCGATTGAGGAGAGGAAGGCGAAGGAGAAGAACGAGTTGTGGATTAAGGAGTTGGAGGCTAGGGATGAGGAGGATAAGGTTATTGCTGCGCAGAGAGAACGGAGGAGATTGAGACAGGAGAGCAGGGCGCAGATGGTGGAGGAGAAGGAGAAGGGGCAGGGGGTCATGGATAGGGTTTATGGGTTGGTTGGTGGGGGCAAGTCGGGCGAGGAGAAGGCCGAGGAGGAGAAGAAGACGGAGAAGGTGGATAAGACTGGGACGCCCCCAAAGGCGTTTTCAATCCTTGATGAGAGCGAACGTAGGAGGCTAGGGGTGTTGGAAATGTGTCAACAACTTCTCAATAATAGGAGGTAGACATTGTACAAATAACAGGGAAAAGAGCTCCGGAGTTAGGCAGCATGTACACTATCAGGCGTAAAAGTACACAAACGCCATTCATTTTTCGTCTAGTTAGAAATGGACATTTGATTATCAGTCTACATGGATAGGAGAAGACAAGGCCATAAAAACCGGATTCTTTGTATTATTGGTATGTTCGAACAATGCTATCCTAAAGCTCCATCCAATCCCAAGTCAACGCCCTATGCAAACTCCAACCAATCCTAATTCATAGACCCACCACTCCTATTCCCCCCAATAAGCCCCGCCATCTCCAGAAGCGCCCTGTCAGCATCAACATCCCCCGTCCCAAGATTTACCCTCCTCCTAGCCTCCGCCTCCCTCTCCTCCCAAGCCCACCTCTGCCTCTGCTGTTCTGCCTCCGCATCACCGCCACATCCCCAAACCTCGAGACTCTCAATCTCAAACCGGTCTTGAAAATCGTACTTCCTAGTCTCACTGTTGCGGAACGCTCCTCCACCGGATGTGTAGTTATGAGTGAAGACTCCAAACTCAAATGAGGAGTCCAGCAAGAGGGAGACGGCACCGAGGTTCACATGTGTAGTAAGCCCGGACGTTTGCTTGGCTTTTGGATGTGGGCAGCCGAATCCGATTCCAGAATGTGCAGAGGGTGGTTTGGCGAAATAGACGTAATCTGTGTTTATCGATGAGGCGTGGAAGACTTCATGAACAGGTTCTAGCTGGAACAGCTTAATATCTGTATCGCCAAAGCATTCTTTATGTGTTTGATGCCATGGCTGGCCAAGATATACTCCAAAAACTACATGATCTGATTTCCCACTGTCTTGGAATCGTTTTGGTGGGAGTGTATCTGAGAATGCTCGCTCTTGGCCGCCTGTAGGAGGATCTGATATCCTATTGCCAGATACTAGGAGGATTGTCGGTGCTCGCCAGTTGAAGACTTTGGTCTCAAAGCTCCCTAGTGAGAACCCAGCATCACCACCTGAATACAGCAGTCGAAGACGTCTAAACAGCGACTCGCCAGGGAGAAAAAAAGATAGCTGAGACAAAACATTCAGATCTAGAATCTCCCCCGTCTGCGAAAGAAGCGGTTGATCTTCTTGCGAAGCAGGGGCAGAGATAGGAGCATCAGCGCCATCTTTTCGTTTCGTAAAGTCGATATTCTTAGAAAATAAAAAATGCTCAAATAGCGGGTTGAAGCCACCAAAGAGAAATGGTAGAGAGATGGGTATCACAGTATTAAATTGATGTATCTTGACTCCAGGAAATTTCTCCACGTTCACAAATGCTGCCAGGATGTTGTCTGCAGTTTTCCGGAGGCCCTCTAGTTGCTCGCCAGATAGCCTTTCCGTATGCCGGGCCAGGTTCTCCTGAGTGCCTAGTGGGGCTACTAGGAGCAAAAGCATGATGAGCTTCTTGAGGTTGTCTGATGGTATTGATGCTTGGGCAATTGGAGCGTCTCCATGTCTGAAGACTTCGATGGCATCTAGAGACTCCAGAGCCGCAAGAGCCAAGTCATCATCGTCTTCGTCATCCTCATCATTCGCAGATTCGTCTATAGCGAAGCCCCGAACATGACTCCTAGGAGCCTCTTTGTGTGCCCCAGCAGTATCATCACTTCCATCCTCTACTGACTTCTCGCCGTGGGTTTGTAAAGCTTTATTATCAAACACGGCCAGACTTCGAAATAGCAACTTTGTACGATCCCGATTGCCTTTCTTCAGTACCCTCTGATATCTCTCCGTCATAATAACAACCACCATAACCATCTGCTCGAACCCCAACACCACCGGCGCATCTTGACCGAATGGGAAAGCACCCAGATATGACACCATCTGAAAGACGATGGAAGAGACGCCTATTACGTCTGGGATCTCGAGGAAGCGCGCGATGGTGTCTTCTTTGAGGTATGCGATAGAGCCTTGGTGGTCGGCCAGGCTGCGGAAGACATCTTGGAAGGAGTAGAGTTCGAGGGGGGTGAAGCAGCGTTTTGCGAATTTGAGAGCCTGCGAGTAAGGGGAATGTTAGTGAGGGGCTGTGGTGATACGATATAGAGGATGTGGATGGCGGGGTAGGAATTTACCAGCTCGTGGCTCAATTGTTCGGTGCTAACATGCCTGCCACTATCACCGGACTGAGCTTGTCCCATAGTGTCTGTATTGTGGAATCATAGAAGTGGGGTCCCAAGTCCAGCTTGAGTAAGTAATCAGTGACGTTGTTGTCGTTTGAGGCAAGAAGAGAGGAGGTTGAACACAATATACCCCGCTAAATTAAGCGGGCTTCTTTCTCCCCTCCCTTCCCTTGAGTAAGCTGTAAGGTAAGCTATAACTAAACTTCCTTTTCCCACTGCGACTCGTGGCCAAGTATCCAAACATCAGTCATTTCCATGGTCCTCACAAGTATAGTTCTTTTCCTTTACTATAATTTTGTCCATCAGTTAAGTTTCCCCTACTTTCACCCAAAGTGTTGACACGTCAGATGCTAGCCAGCCCATAAACCCATATTCCTCTCCCATCCAAAACCTCGAGTTATTTATTATATCTTCAGGAAAGTCTGCTCAGGTCATGGTGGGTTCGGTAAATCAGGTAAGGGCACGGAACAAACTGGGGATTCTCACTGGGAGTGGTTTTGGTCTTGTGTGAGTGTAATCAGAATCCTCTTACAGCATTCCTGGCCCAATTCCAATACTTTCCATCGTTCCAGAGCTTTCAACATCCTCTAGCTAATACCATACATTCAGTGCCACTGTGGAGTAGGAGCTGGGCTCTTGATGATTATTGAATTCTGCCCTGAGTCCAATTGCACCCACTCCCGGTGCGAGCATTGTCCAACGGAGGCCCATAAGGTCAGAGATGAAGCGTGACAGGAGTGACAGCAAATATTATCTCGAATGAAGTTCTTTGAAAGTCGCGAGTCGTGGTTATTAAGTGTTGACAGAGCTCTCAGCCATGGCAACCTTTTGTGGTGCCATCTAAATAGAGACTTGAGTATATGCTGCCAGTTTTTAGGTTTTGTGTGTTCATTTGCTTTTGGCTAGAGGGGATTATTTGAGGAGTTGCAATAGCAAACCTTCAACTTCCAAATTCAACATTTCGAAGAACGCAGGACTGAATTCATGTTGGTGATTTCTCAGTAACTACGGATTAGGTCCGAGTACTCGATATCCAATTGGACGTCCCCCTTTCTAAATTACCAGACTTTCGATGTTGTAGTCTATAAACTACATACAACGTTGATTAACTTGACCGCTATTGAACGAAGCCGTACAATACGTATACATCTCCCACACGGTCGGCTTGATAAGCTGGCTTGTCTAGAAATTTTCATTTTGCCTAAGATATCCGCTATGCTCATTGTCTTACTCCTTAAGTATATCCCATCCTCCGATGTCACCAGTATTACATCAATGCCCAGTAAGCTATGCGAGGCTCCTAAAGATGCCTACATAACGCGCAATTTCCTTCGCCCCATCCTCCGAGGATTCCAACCTCCCCTTAACAATTCTCCCCAAAACGTACTATCGTCTCCGTAACAGGGTCTGTGAATAAAGCAAAGGTCTCACTTCCAATCGCGGTCGTTAACGCCACCCTCACAGCTCGAAGCAGATCTGCAGCATAAGCCGGAACCTCCTCAGCATCGGCCCGGAACTTGAACTGCTTGCACCGCATATATCCTTCTACCGTTGCAGCCACTATCATATCCCGTACTGCATTTCTTGGTGGTAATTCCATTGCAGCGACGATGTGACCAGAAGTTACATATTTACAGAGTATTCCTGCTTTAGATTTAACGTTGGTTGGGAGATCGGTGGAGAAGGGGGTGATTGTGCTATTGCATATAACAGATTTGATATGCGATGCCATGTCGACTGAGATACCGTGAATACCAATCATATCGCCAAAGCGAGCGAATTCAATTGCTTTCCAGAGTTCATCCTTTGATGACAGTTGCAAGGTGAAGGCGACCTTTCCGCGGTACAGGTATTGAATCAGGGATTGGAGGCTGGAATTAGAGACTATACCATACGTTCTGTAAGAATCGTCTCTTGGGTTTCGCCTTCTTTGAAGTTCCCGTTGAACATGGCTGCGAAATAAGGTGACTGTTTGCAGATTAAGTCCTTGGAGACTTTGTGCGTGGGACCGTCATCTCCGATCCGGATGGAGACTTGGGGACCGGAAAACATGGGAAGAAGACTGGCATATAAATTATTAGCCATGCTTTCGGATTGCAGAGGGAAGTGAGATTGTTCAACTTACGTATCGACAAAATCTTCTGAGGGCATATCCATGATGTTGGTGCTGTGTTTGTTTGACATTGCCACGATGATGGGTGGTTCTTGAGTCACAGATTCGTAACTTGATCACTGAAAATTTTGTATCTCGTGTTTACTATGTTCTGTGTCTGAGATGGGATGTGGAATCAGAAAAGGACGTCTTAAATAGGTCTTGCAGGCAGAATAGTTAGCCGATTGTCAACAGCTTCAAAACAACCACCCGCATTACCGAGATTCAATGAATAACAGTCCCCAAATAGCCATCCGCCAAGGAATGCGAACTCTTGACGGTAAAGAAGGATAACAACATTGAATAGACGGCACGTGAGTCAGGGGTCTAGATCCTGATTGGCGAGGCTTTAGGGGGGTGCATTTGTATTGTTTGTATTCCATTCACTAAAATCTGGTAAGCAGGATGGCCTCGATACAATAAGTATCGCCATACAAGATTGGAAAAAGCTCATCTGAAGTGCACTGATGGATAATTAGGATAAAATAACAATCTAATCATACAGACAAAATCCTTCGTACAGAAAGGAAGCTATCCCCAAATAATACTTCTCAGAAACTCCCCCATTGCATCAAGCACCCTCCAACCACGTGCAACAGCTGACCCGATCCTAAATCTCCAGTCCCCTACCCTCTGGGAACGTCACACTTTTCTTCTTCTTTTTCTGCAAGCCCTGACCCGCTGGTTGATCATCAGCAGGTCTCTTCTTAGGCGACCTCGACCTCGTACTCCTGGCAGGTCCAGCAGGGGTATTGGTCGGAAGTATTCTAGGCATACCACCTCTTCTTCCAGCACGCCAACTTCTTAGGTCGGGGGGTCCTCTTGTTACGGATGCGTTGACCTCTTGGTGAGTGAGCGGGACTTTCTTCGTCCTCCTAGGTGTCGAGATCCTGGGATCATGAGGGTCCAAATCCAGCCTTCTCGCTGCATCATGAGTCTCTTGCGTCGTAGCATATTCCAGCTTATTGCCCAAGAGGTTCTCCATGGCCGATGTAGCATTGTTCCTTTCTGCTTCGATCGCTTCGTAAGCCTCCCGACGTCTGATCACGGCGATTTCCGCTTGAGTGTGGTAATTTTCCAGGATATTGGGATTAGGGAATGATGGGATCCTTTTAGCAAGTTCAATCATGTTTGCTCTTTGTTCCTCTTGGCTGATATTTTCCGGTTTCCAATCACCCACAATTTCTGGAAGAGCATAGGGAGCAACTCTTGGCTTCTTGGGCTTGGCGGCTCTGGAGAAAAGCCCGCTCTTCCGAGGTTTAGATTGGAACTCAGGAACTGAGACATGTTTAGTATTTATGATTTCGAATGCAAATGCCACTTACCATCTTTCAAATCATTTTGCATTCTCCAGTCAAGATAAGCTGCCGAGTAAGGTGTCTCTCCGAACGGGAAGAATGGGGGTTTATTCATGCCCCTATGTATCTCAATTGGTCTTCCACCTCGCATTTCAGTATCAATCAGTGTCTCTGTTCGCTCTGGTATCGGTGATTCAAGTTCTAGCTTTTCTTGAACTTGTGGTCCACATTGTTCAATAGCTGTTTGGGTCGCTTCGCATTGGCAGGGCAGTGGATATCTGTCCATACGGAAGAACTGTTGTCGCCTTGGCCTAACCTGGACAACACGACCACGGACGGTTTTGTCATGTAATTCCACTCTTGGTCGGGAAAATTCCCAGACATGTTCATTCTCTGGGAAGCGAGACTCCCAATTATTGCTCGCTTCCTCCAAAACTTCCATTTGAAGTAGACTGGCAGCCTCCTTCTCATCCATGGTTCCTGGGTTGATCCCAGAATCCTGTGCAAGGTCTGGTGCAACTCCATCCAACTCGGTCGCTAGTTTGTGTAGGTTAACTTCCGTTGGTTCCATAATTGAAGTACTTAAAAGCCCTGGCGCTAGGTCAGCGGGGGGTATCGGATTCATGTGTCGTGCTGCCCCATCGAAAGCTTGGTATTGATCTCGCAAGCACTGGTTCTCATCCGCGCCAGGACTAGCAATCGTATGTAAGGTTTCGGAAATATTGCGACCGATCCTATAAGCAATCCTTTGCAGATAGTGGTATTTATTCGGCTGAACGATAGGTGGGCCTGTAGTTCCCTTCACATCATACTGAACCTCTAGGATACCATCCGTAAGTGTACGGACTCCCTGAGACTGCGCTGCATTGTCTCTGGATACCACATATCGATTTTCTGGGTGGCCGCTAAGTGGTATTTGCGATACTGAGTTCGTCTCCGCATCGAAGCTAGTCATTGTCAGAAAGCGCGCCCATAAAGAATGAATTACCACTTACTGGATCCTACCGACGGTATGCATTGCAGAGAAATATCTCGTTGCCTCTTCATTGGTCCAAAGATGGAGATTTGAGAACTCCTCTAGAAGTCTTTGCGTGTTGATCTTGTAATTGAATGCTTCTGCAGACATAAAATTCAGGCTAGGTTGGGCTGGATTGTGTTTGGGTTGGCGGTATAATGTCTCGTCGTCTGGATCAGTGATCGTAATTGATAGGGGTATCTCAGGGGGAGTCCAGAGTGGAACCAAGTGTCTATGTTCATCAACATCCTTTTCAAACTCTTCCAAGTTGGCAAGTTGCTCGTCGCTCAGGCCCAAATCAAAATACGTGAAAGGTCTCCGCTCTTCATCCCAAGATGGTTCCGTCAGTTCATCGATGACTTCGAGATCGGATTCATTTAGATCTTCGTCGTCCCAAAGACGGTGGTTTCTTCTTGAATCCAAGTTCGTTCCCTCCTGGATGCGAAGAAGTAGCTGTTGAATTAGCGGTCGTGGAGCTAGACGTTCAGCTTCACGTAGGCGAGAGAACAGTAGCGTCAGTTGGAGTTGCCTCTTTCTAGCAGCTTCCTGGTGA